CTTCTTGTTTACTACTGGTGGTTGGCTTTGGTCGCAGTACCGCCACCTTCTGCTCTGGAGTGTAAACGCTTCGCCTATGAGAAAAATGAGCAGTGCATGAACCAAACGCAACACAGGCGAACCGAACCAAGACAGTCGAACCGAACGGTTCGGACAGTTTTTTAATAAACCGTTCCATCCCTAGCCTGTAAGGTAAAAATAAGAAATTAACCAATTCATCAAATCTTATCTTGGTGTGTTCTTGAGTATCGAAAATAATGGAATCGTTGGGTCAGGAAATTGATACTGAATGGAATCGGCATTATGGGTGTGATTTACACCCCTATGACAGTTCATTATTAAAAAACAACAATCGATATCGGCCTTCCAGAAAATCGAGGGTCAAAAAGCATTTATTTCAAAGCCTAAAATTAAAGGTAGCGATGAAGAGCATATAAAAAGGTCTGATCAGCACAAATAGAAATACCCACCTAATAGGCTTGCCTCTCAATACAGTGAATATTATATTACAGCGTACTAATTCATATTTCCATGAGGGAGAAAAAAAACCCAAGATTAGAAGGGCTTTAAAAGCAGCACATTAAAAGTCAGACATTTCTAATCCTTTTTCGTTGCCAATGGCTAATCCAATTCCCCTACAGTGCCTTGCCTTGCTGCAAGATGTACGTATCAGGCATAGTTGCTCACCCAAGTGTGTCTGGCTTATACCATGATTCTCCAGCCTCTGCTGCAGCAGCACCAGCAGCCTCTGATCCATCTTGAGACCTGACCGCAGCATTTTCTAAGACTTATCAAGCCTGTGTATCTGCAGCCAACGAGACGATCTGCCTTGCACGCCTGGCACAGGTGTTGATAACCTCTGCGATGTGCAGACTAGCAGAGACAGCGGAGACCTCTAAAGGTGGATAAAAGGCATTGAAAAAGAACTCCACCAACTCATTCCAAATACTTGGAAGGAGATAACATGCGCTGCTCGCTCTGCTGCTTTGATCTTGTACCTCATGAGAGCCTTATTCAGCTTCCACATGTCACCTAATTATGCAGCTTTAGTTTGGTTTAACAAGAAAAGGCCTGTAGGCTTGTTTTTTTCACTACTTTGATCACAAAAATGTAATTTTGAATGCAGAAATAATTATCCTTCATAGGGAAAAACGCACAGCTCAGCATTTAAGTCCCTCACACCATCAGATTTTTACCCTGCTGCAAAAGCCAGACTGTTACCAAGTTTCTTTCTAACTGCATGGCATTTCGCAAGGAAAGATTTTAGTAGCTGGTGCATTATCAGTATCTGCCTCTGCCGGATTCTTATGGGATTAAATATGCAAGCAATGAGTGAAACACAGTGTTTGCGTGTAAAAGAAGGCATTTGGTCCCAGTCCTGCTTTGGCGACATACATGACATTACAGAGATGTCCACATCAGTTGGCTTCACTGCCCTATTTGGCATTGACCTTTAAAGCGTCAGGCTTCGGTCCCCTACGACCAGCTGCTCTTTCATAACTATTCGGTTAAAATAATCATGGTTTGATACTGGCCTCATTGTTCTGTGCACTTGCGGTACAGTTGTTTTTAAGCCATGTCTACACTCTGGCAGATATTTAGCTAAACTGAGATTTCCTGCTATGTATGGAGCTCTCATCTACCTGCTAAATATTTTGGTCCTGGTAGAGTTTAGCAAAACA